ATGATAATAAAAAACCATCATTGGATTTTGACCTATCTAATGAAGAAAGCAAAAGGAGATTATGTAACAGGTATTCTTGTCTGATTTTTTAAATAAAGTTTTCATCTTTTTAAGATTTTTGTTGTTGTTTTTGTGTTTATTACATGGACTGATTATTTTGTTTTTGTCTTTAAGGCTGTTGTATAGGAGCAGACAAAGAGGGTTTTTGGAGCTGGATTTGGTGTTGGGGAAATGGGTAGAAGAGCATATTTATTCCATGGATGAAAATGGTGTTAAAGCACTAATTGATGTTCTTGATTTGGTAAATAATAATTCTCCATCATTTCATTTGTTGGTCAGCATGAGTTTTTATGATTAATTATGGTTTTAATTTTAATTTTTTTTCTTTTAGCTTATTTTCTGGTCTTTGCTCTAACCACAGGATTAGTTTGTTCTAATCACTTCAATTGGTGATAATATCAAATGTTAGCTTATATAAATTTTCTCAGTTGAAGCTGGTTCTCAATGTGAACTTTGGTCTTGTGTGAACTAACTGGGTATAAGGTGGTTTGAATGATTAAAAAATTGCAACTTTAAGGGAGTTTTAAGGGCTTGGAGGTAATTTTTGAATTCTGCCGTAGATATTGTCAATTGGAACCAAAGTATTACATTTGCCACAGCTCTTTGGTTCTGATTTTTGTGTTGTCCATTACGCAATGGTATTTGATTGAATTATATTCTGTTTAAGCTTTTTTGACTGAAAATATATTTATAAACACCAAAGTTTGAACCTTGGATGTAAGCCGTACCGTTATCCTATACCCAACCCAAGCCCAGAAGCCAAGATTTATTCTGTTATTAAAATGTCTGATGTAGGCTTGTGCTGAACCTGAAGACCTTCGGCAGGTTTTAAATCCATCTATTCCTTGTATACGAAATGCATGTTGGCCTTAACGTTATTTCTGTTACGTGATTATCTGAGAGCATTTTTAGTAGTAATTGGTTCTAGTGGTTTTTGTGTGTGAAGTGAACTCAGAACTAGCATGTGAAAGTTTTAAGGTAGTTTTGATGTCTCAGATAGTGAAACTTCAACGTAGTTTTATCACCTCAATGGTAGGCTATGAGAATTCTTTGCTAAACATTGTCTACTGGAACATTGTCAACTGGAACTGGTGTATTGCAGCTTCCATTGCAATTTGGCTCTACTTCTGTGTTTTTTTTTATCGGCTATGAATGGAGTTGAATATGATTTTTTTGTTTCTAATTTTGGGGGTCTTTATAAGCTTTTGAAATTACAACATTC